TGGATGGATGGATGGATGGATGGATGGATGGAAGGAAGGAAGGAAGGAAGGAAGGAAAAGGAAAAAAAATGTGGAAGTGACAGCCAATATGGGGAACGATTAGAGGCAGTGGACTAGGAGCAGGGAGACTGGAGTTCTAGTCCTGCCTTGGGCATGGAAGCCAACTGGGTGACTTTGGGCTAGTCATGTAACTTTTAGGCAGAACAAAACAAAATATGCTTTCAAAAAAGCAACTCTGTGTAGCTGCAATATGGGAAGGGGGGTTAAACCTATTTTCTACCAACCCTTGTTTTAACTTTTCAGTTGTTTTTAATGCAGAAAATAGTTACTTTGCTTTGTAGGGCTTATTTAGAAATAAGGGAGTTCAAGAGTGTCACTACTGTAGTCATTTATTTCTCATTTTGGGAAGAAATATTTGACCCCCTCTGTTCAGGCTAACAGTTTGCTTTGTGATAATAAAATAGAACATCTACAAAGAATCCAGTGGCAACTTAAACAAATGTAGTCTGATTTTAGCCTTTAATCTGCAGCAAGAAGTGTTTTTGTTGAAGCAAACTAACCAGACTCCTCTTCTGAAATTGTTAGAATGACAAGTGCTTGCTCAAGTCTGATTAATATTTCAAAGGGACTGTAAACCTGAATTTTTGGGGAGGGGTCGATGCAAGTGGTGGGATACCCTTCCCACCTCTCCTTGGATATGGGTCAGGGTTAGGGTTACCCAGGCCTTCGGTGAGGGAGACAGCTCACCTCATTGCACTTGCTGTCTTTTGTCTTTAATTTTTAGGTTTTATTGATTTTATTGTGATGTCATTGGAGTTGGGTAGCATATAAATTCAAATAAATATTTAATTTCTTTGTTTGATTGTTGTGAGCTGCCCAGAGCGATTAGAGGCAGTTGACTAGGAGCAGGGAGACTGGAGTTCTAGTCCTGTCTCGGGCACGGAAGCCAACTGGGTGACTTTGGGCTAGTCATGTAACAAGCCCAGAGTCGTTAAGAGTCAGGGGGCATACAAGTTTAATAAGTAATAATCATTTTATTTATAGTCTGGAAGTCATGCTGGCAAAGGTAAGACAGGGAAATCAAAGCCCTCCTACTTTGACTTGCCAATCTTTTCTCTCTCCATGGCTTTTTATTTTGATTTGCCCTCTCTAAAACTGCTGGCTCCTTCCTTGGACTTGGGCGATTCAAGTTCATCACTCATGCAATTTTCTGTAGCTCTCTCCTGCTGCAGACTCTTTCTCATCGAGTGATCCCTTGTGTTTTACCAAAGCCAGAAAAATTACCGCATATTCTGAAGTCAAGGTCTGATGCTATTCAAAAATGTGGCATCCTAGATGGAACCACGCTTGTGGCTATAAATCTGGGTTTAGGGAATTTGGCCTTCTAGAGCGTTGGCTGTGTTGGGTGTGATTGACGAGAATGGGGCAGGTGGCACTTGGTTCCCCTGCTCTGTTCTAAATGCTCCATCACTTAATTTAGGCTCCCTCTCCTCCTCTGCAGGATGCAAACCACTCACTCTGCCTGAGCGACTTGAGCCTTATGTCCACAGATTTAGAACTGCGGGATAATTCAGATCCAGTAAGCATCTCTTGCCTTTGGTTACAATAGCACAGTAGGTGTCAGACGTATTGCCATGTCTTTGGAGGAGGACCTGTTTATCATGCTGCAGAAAGCAAGCTGGCTTATTTGGTTTCTCCAGCAGAGTACTGTGAACAGCCTGCTCTGTAATTGTCCTGTCTGGGCCTAGAGCCAGCACTGGCACCAAGCTCAGGGACAGATTGCTAATTTGGGGTGCCTTACCGCTCCCTCCTTTCTGCAGGCACATGGACAAGACCTGAGTACAATCTCACCAGCAAGCATCTTTGAGTCCATGTTCCAAAGTCCAGAGCCTCCCCCAAATCAGGAAGATTCTCAGCACACAGGTACAATTTCCCTTGGCAACATCTCTTCTTACCAGTGATCCTCAGATCTGAGCAAACTGCCCCAAGGCTCAAGGACTGGTGACTTTAGCAGCCCCCTGGGGCCAGGTGCAGTTAGAAGAAACTGTATCTAAGAACAGCAGGAGAGATTCCATCTGCTGGGTCTTCTGTTCTGCGCATCACAACACTCTGATGAAGAAAGGTGTTCTCTGGGAGCATTGAGGAATCTTTGGGCTGGACTGCCTTGAAGGAAAATGTTGCCACAGGCCGACTGGTATGGGAGAGGTTCATGGCCTGCCTTATGAGAGCAGTGTAGGAGGCCAGTGGGGAGCAGGCCAGGGTTTAAGAGAGGGGCATCTTCCCTACACGGCTGGGTCAGCATCCTGCTGCGGCTTCCCCTGGTTCCAACAGGAAGAACCCCCTAGGGCAGGCCCCAGGCTACAGATGGATTGGATGGGCAGTCCTTCTGTGGTCTTCTGGAGTTTTCTCATTGTGCTTTTTGTTTGACAGATGCCTTGATTGGAGATTTTGGTGGTGATGCAGAGCCAGCCCCAGCAGCCCAGACACCTCCAGGAGAGGCTGCGCCCTTATCCCTGCCGCTTGTTCTTCAGCTTGGCATTTCTGAGCCTTCCCTCCCAGCACTGCCTCTTGTCTCCACTGGTGCTCAGCAAGTGGCTTATGGAACCCCTGCCAGTATCCTGCAGCCTCCAGAAGTGCCTCCTCCTCACAGCACACTTTTGGCAGCCAGTCCCCAGGGCTTCTTGCACCACCTTCAGACACCTGTACAGCCCATGGGGTCTGGGCTTTCTGGAGTCTCAGAGGTCCCCACTGGACCAGCAGCTGCAGGTGCCACTGAGATCCTGCCCAGCAGAGTTCAGACTGTGCCTGTGGGAGGGGGCCCTGTGCTGCCCAGCAGCCCCAGTGTTACCATCGCCCCCTCACAAAACACAGCCATTCTTCAGTCTGGCATCTTCATGGGAGAACAAAACCTCCAGTGGATTTTAAATGGGGCCACCAGGACACCGCAGAACCAAGAGCAGATGGTGAGTCCCAGAGGCTTGCAGGAGGAACCAGCCTGAAGGTGGGGAGGGGGTTACGTGGTCAGCTTTGTGCAGGATAACAAGGTCTTGGAGTCTCCTGCAGCGGCCTCCGTAATGCTGTGGGAAGCTGCAGCCTCTCTCCTGACAGGCTTGACCCCCCTCTTTTCTTTCTAAGCCACAGGCTCCTGTCTTAGAGAAGGTCTTCTTCACAACTGCTCTCCCTGTGACTGGTAGTGCGGGTAAGCCACATCTGAACTCCCCACATCCATGTTCCTTGAAGGTCACTGACCCCCAGAAGGGCTTGCTGCTGCAAGTGGCAGGGAGGTTGAGGATGGGATCTGGCCCCAGCATGCTTTGGCTGTGCGTTTTAGTACTCCCTGCATCTCCTTTCCTAAGGAAGCCTATTTCCCTTTCTTGTATTTGGTTGATGGGTGTCCTTCTTACTAATGCGAAGTGGGGGTTTGCAGTGCACTGGGGGGGGACATGTGGGTCTTCACTAAGGAGGGTAGCAAAACTGACTTTGGACCAGAGAGGATCTTTATTTCCCTGAGCAGGAAATGGATGCTAGATGGTGTTTCTCCCCTCCTCCAACACCTGCTCTGCAGAGCTTAGGCTGCACCCTGGGATGTTGCTGACCTCAGCAACAGCCCCAAGCTTGCAGGGCCACCTAGAGGGGAAACGAGGTTGCTGGCAAGCAGCCGTCATGGCCAATGAAACGGACCTGCTATTAGGGTTAGGCTTTTCTCTGAGCATCGTTTCCTCCATCTCTTGGGGATGGGCCATTCTCAGAGACCCGGGAAAGCAGCCAGGGCCTCTCCGTGGAGTGACGGCTTGCTTCCTCTCCAGGGAGTCCCGTGCAGCAGATTGGCCTGAGTGTGCCTGTGATCATCATCAAGCAGGAAGAGGTGTGCCAGTGCCAGTGCGCCTGCCGAGACACGAGCAAGGATAAAGCCGGCAGCCAAGGCTGTCCCTCCCTTCTCTCGAAGACCTTAGGGGAGTCTCCAGCACCAGGGCCACAGGACTTCCCCAGTACAGTGGCCAGCACGTCCGCTGCTGCTGCTGCTGCCAGCTGTTCCTCTGTGTTGCCTCCTGCTGGCCAGCAGAGCACCCTGGGGGGGCACCCGTCCGGCTTCCTAAGTGCCATGGAGGCGTCTCATTTCCTTTCTCTCCAGAGCCCCGAGACGGCCTCCCCTCTCATTCCCCTCGAGCCTCTCCTGCAGGGGGAGGAGGGGCTTGCCTTGGGTGGCAACTTCCCTAAGTGAAGCCCTGGCAAGCAGCGGAGAGACAGACATGAGCCGGCTGCCCAGGAGGGTGTCGCGGGCTCCCTTTTTCCCCAGATGAGGAGCAGCCGGCTCTGCCCTCACTTGTCACTTTGGCTCACAGCAATGTGAGCATAGGAATCGGTCACTTTGAGAGGATGGGCAGGTGGGCTGCACCTTGCTTTCGTGGGGGTGGAGCGGAGTACTTCTGGGCCTGGGGTGGTTCGGGGTAAGTGTGCCCTGTGAGCAGCAAGGGGAAAGAAATCAATGTTTGTGTGAAAACAGCATGGTGGGCTCTCCGAGCAGCAGTGGCACAGAGGAGTGGAGAAGCCCTCCCCAAGGCCTCGCCCTTTTGCTACCTGCAAAAACAAGTCGTGCACATCATGATCAGACTTTGCACATGAGTACATGGGCTGCTGGCTCCTTCATCTTATGTGCCTGCTCTTCTTGATAACTGAGTGCACTGCCTGGGTGTTTACATGAATTCAGGGGCTAAAAGGATTTGCACTGTTCAGCTTTATCAGAATGACTATCTCAGCATAGCTACTTTTGCCTAGAAAATGTTCCCCTTTAGATTGGCTGGCTTTGGGGGGTTCAGAGAGGTGCTTGGAGGTCTCAGTGTTGGTCTGGTGGAGACTTGGGAGCAATCCAGCTTGGTCTGGCAAAGCAGACTCCTCCAGGGTCTGCGGAGCTGCCGAGCCAGGCCCTTCCCTCCGCAGACAGTTGGGGTGCAGCCAGACAGTCCACCTGCCCTCCAAAGGTTTCTTGGGAGCCACAGGCCCCACAGAGGGAAGGGCGCCTTTCCTCTCTTAACTTACTCAGGGTAAAATCCTAGCATAGAATGCCTGGAAGGTTTGGGGTAGTCTCCTTTCTAAAGTTTTGTACATGTCCTTATTTTGTCACATCCACTGTGTTTGGATTTTCTAGCCAGCCCTCTTTTGTTCCCAGGACAAACTATCATTGTATAGTGTGCCTGTCTAAGAGTTTTTCCCAAGCTGAGAGGCAGGCGGATGGGCAAAGGCAGAGATGGAGGAAGCAGGGTCGCTGTGGCTGTGACCTTGGCTGGCTGTCCACCCACCCTGTGGAGCAGAGATGGCTGCAGGGGCCTTGCAAGGCCACTTCAAGTGTTCTCAGTTTGTGCCTGCTGTGCTGCTGCTGTAGCGGGACAAGCTGGCTGGTTGCTGTTCCACTGAACTCCCACTGGGAATATCTGCAGTCCGTGGGCATTTCTGATCCTCCTCTTCTTCCTACGTTAGACCAGAACCTCCTGAATCTCCCCATGTGCCTGCAAGGCTTGTGTAGTTAAAGTGCTTCTTGTTGACTATGGAGAGCTACTATACTGGGCAGTTGCAGTGGAGTTTTAGACTAGTGTGCCCCTGTGATGGATTTTGGTAACCCATGTTACAAGAGCATTCCCCTTGCTTGGCTCTGCTTCTGGAATGGTCGCCCCCTGTGACTTTGGGAGCCAGCTGGTCTTGTCGCTTGCCCAGCCTGCTTTGTGGATGGGTCTAGGGTTGAGGGACTTAATTGTGCCAAGACTCCAGGGCGTGGAGAGGCCCTGGGACTTCATCTCAGCTAGTACTGGGGGTGGGAGAGAGTAACTAGAGGAGGGGAAGTGGACAGTGTCTGGGACGTGGACTTCGTCTGCCAGAATTCTCAGCAGGGATCACACTGCCTGGGGAATTCTGAAAATTGAAGTTTGCACACCTGGAATTGACCGAGTTTAGGAAAACTTGCTCTAGAGTCTGCAGTGTTTGCTTCTGCTATTCAAGTTTAGGGAAGGAATATAGTTCATTGGGGCTGATCTAGTTACACTTACTTGCTGGCCTCTAAAATGCACTTTAGTTCTCTTTCAGCTGATGGCTGCAATGTCATTTGTAAATAACTCTTCACAGTCCTTGGGTATTTTCCTCCTTTTTGCTCTGAGTAAAAAAGTATGTGGTGTGCAAAAAAGCACTTAACTTCAGTGCAATACATGTAGCTAGAAGTGTCCACATGCACTCTGTGAGTGTGGTTATATGTATGTATATGTGCGTGCATGCGCACAAGTGTGTTTATGTGGGATTGATGGAATGGGTGGAAAACCATCACTCTGCCCTTTTCTGACTTATGCATCTTTGAGCAAATGTCCAGTCTATGCAAAACCTCCATTAGTAGCCTGAGCTGAATGGATTTGGGTCAGATCAGCGCCTTTCTGCAGTAGTTTGGTCACTGCTTGGATACCATCCCAGCTCTGTCATACTCCTTGCAAGGGAGGGAAGAAACAGGCCGCTCTTCACTGGTCCTGAAGCAGTTCCGAAGACTGGTGCTCCTGCTCTCCAGGTGCCCCACCACTGCCTTACTTCCCACCCGGTGATTCTGTCCTGGAAGCAGCAGAATCTGACAGCAGCCATTGGAAAGGACTGTCCCATCACCTCTTACACCTTCTCAAGGGATGGTTAACTTTATAGACACCAAGAGTTCCAGAATGCCAAGGTACCCACAAGAGATGAGCTGGTCTTCAGAAACTGGGTCATGGAAGAGGTGACAGTAACACTATTGGCCAGCTCTCCTCTATAAAAGCACAGAAAGCCTTCTTTGGAGCATCCACTGGCATGGGAAGTAAATGCTACTCTGATGTCATACACTTTGTGTTTGCTTTAGCGGTCTAGAAATAGCATCTGTTTTTAACCAATATTTCTTGTTGGTGAGGGCTGGTTTTTCAACCTCTACATTGTTTATTGTTTCTATGCTTTGGAGTCTGTTCTGCACTGAAAAATGCCAAGGAAACTGGATATATTTATGTAAGGCGTGTGTGTGTGTGTGTGTGTGTGTGTGTGTTTGTAAAAATGGATGGAAATGGTATGTTATCCACAGTCTTTTTAATAGTGAGCACGCTGGCCAAACCCAGTTTCTATGCAGTGGACACTTTCAAGTTAATGCAGTTTGTATTTTTCTGATCATTTGGGTGTTTTAGCTTTTCTTCCCACAAACAGTCTTCACCAGTAAAGCCCAGGGAAGAATTATCGTCGTCGTTGTTCTTATTTTGCAATCTGTTATTGAAGTTTTTTTTCTCTTGTTCTGCAGTGTTATTTCTTTCCAAATACTAAGATACTGGCTTAGATTATATGGGGAAACAACAAGCTACCATTCTATCTAGCCACAGTCAGGATTTGGGAGTGGAGCTAGATGTGGGACTCTATTGGACATCAGAGAACAGTTTAAGCCTCTCTCCCACCTTTGGATTAGTCTACGGCATACTGGGAAATAGGTATTTTCCATTGCTCTGACCATGAGACAAGGTTCAGATGCACCTTTTCCTGTTGGGCAGAAAAATGTCATCAACATGTGCAAGATGGAGAGAGAACCCTTTAGCTGAGGAGAGTTGGTTTCCTGCCTTTTCCCAGCAGGCACTTTCCTACAAAGAATGAGTGACTGCTCCATAGAGCAAGGAAGGTGGAGACCCCAAAGGTTCTCAGATAATTGTTGAAAGTGCCTTCCTGGGTCCCCTTCACAGTTTGGACTGTGATCTAGACCTCTAGCTTCCTTCATGATCACACTGGCTGGGTTTGCATGGCAGGCTTAGCCAGGTTATTAAAGACCTAACCACTGCATTGCACAACTGCTAAACTTTGGTTAGTTAGTCTTGGCTTGGTAGTTGACCAGCCCATTGCGTTAGTTTATGATTTGAGGTGGTCTGTGAACTCAGAAAATTGGGTGAATTCAGAGTTCAGGGTGTGTGTGTGGTGGGAACCCTGCCATGGTGTTGCTATGGCTAAACTCCACAGCCTCACAGGACATGGTGGGGGATGATTTGAAGTTACCAGTTTCTCTCAGGAGTATCTATGTTGTGTTTAAGCACATTTAGTTTAACTTTGAAACCTGGGATCAAATGTCTGTGCATTGAGTGATGTGAAGATGCTCACTACAGGTACAGTACTTCCAAAGGAAGAGCTCTCCAAAACACCAGAAGAATAAACAAAGTTGTATTTTTGAAGAATGTAAAATGTGAAATAGGGTTTGCTTACCTGGTCCATTTTGTATAAAATTAATATTGTACTTTGAAATATCTGCAAGGAATTGGAAAATAATTTTTTAATTGAAGGCAATATTAGTACCAATGAAATATAATTAAATGCTTATTTAAATGTGGTGCCTATGGAATACTTATTTCTTGAATAAATGAGTTTAATGTCTTACCGGCATGTTGCAATGAAAATGTAAATACATAACTGAGTTTTGAGGGGGGGAAACTCTGCAACTCAATTTTCATGAGACGGAACTGGTAATTTTCCCCCCTTTCCCCGTTTATTCTATATTCTAATGCATAATTAAAAGCTTATAATACTATAAGACATTTCCTATCCGTTTTCTGATCAAAACATGTTTCTATTAAACTTTAAGTGTACTTGATTAACAGAATTCAAATCATTAAAAAAGGGAGAAACTATAGGTGATAAGCAACTGATTATTGATCAAGTCATTTTCTACTCTTAGTGACCACATAGATAGATGTTTCTTCATGATGATCTGTCCCTAACCTGGTCTTTTAGGTCTTCCATTGGTGTCCCCATTGCCACTGTACTGAGTCCATCCACCTGGCGGATGGTCATCCTCTTCTCTTTCCTTCCACCTTTCCAGCATCAGAGCCTTCTCCAGAGAGCTGGGTTTGAAGTGGGATAATTGGAGCCTGGTCATTTGTGCCTTGAAAAAAAACACTGGATTGATTTGTGCTGTGATCCATTTGTTTCTTTTCTTGCCTATCCATGGTATTCTCAGGAGTCTTCTCCAACACCAAAGTTCAAAGATATCAATACTCTTCCTATCTGGCATTTTCAAAGTCCAACTTCCACTTCCATAGAGTGTCACAGGAAATGGCATGGCTTGCACAATTCTGATCTTTGTAGGTATGGACGCATCACGGCATCTGAATCTCTTTCCCAAGGCCTTCATGGCTCTTCTAACCAAGGGCTAGTCTGTGGCATATTTCTTGACCGTTTGTTCCTTTACTCTTGAAGGTTGATCCTAAAAGGCAGAAGCCATCCACCACTTCAATATCTTCATTGTCAATTTTAAGGCTGGTGGTTCCTCCTGTTGTCATTAGTTTGGTGGTCTTTATATTTAATTTTAGTTCCATTTTCTCACTCTGCTCGTTGACTTTTGGTACCTGGGCGTGCAGACCTCTTGTATTTCCAGGTATCAAGGTAGTGTCATCAGCATAGTGCAGGTTA